ATGAAGTTCAATGCAGAGAAGAGGGAGGTGTTACATATTGGTAGAAAGAACATGGACAGTGTATAAACTGAAGGGTACTATGCTAATAATGTGCAGGAGCACAGTGAATATGTCCATGATTCACGGAAGGTGGCAGGACAAGTGGAGAGAGCTGTTAATTAAGCATGCAGTATTCTCTGATCTAATATTAAGTACATAAAGTTCACAGTTAGGATGAGGCTAAGACTGTATATGACACTACTTGGGTCTCATCTGGAGTATCATCTGGGTTCCACATCTCATTCAGGATGTGACTGCATTGGAAACAGTTTTACAAGAATGGCTCCAGGGTTATGAAGATTCAGTGATGACATTGGGGTAGAACAGAACCGACTGTCAACTTTCAACTCAGGGCAACCTTTTATGACGACATCAAGATAAAGGTATAACAAAATAGACAAATAGAAGAATAGAGCAGGACTTTGTTTTATGGTGAAGGCAGGGTCATCAAACAGGTAGGACGGTACTAAAAGTTTGTACTGATGAAAAATAAAAGATTTCACAAAGTGAGCAATGGTCCTATATAAAGTGAGTTTGGGGAATTATGCAAAGTAAGCAGATGGTAGTTGAATTCAACATGTATTTTGAATTGGTTTTCACTAGAGGACACAAATAAAATCGCAAAAATAATTGTATATCTGGAAATAGATGGGATGGAAAGACTCAGAATCCCTACAGAGTGGAAAGAGGCCATTCGGTCCATCAAGACTGCACAGAACCTCCAAACAGCATCCCACCGAGAAACAGCCGGCACACAAACCCCGAATTTACCATGGCTTAACAACCTAGCCTGCATATCCCCGAACCAGGACGGACTAAAGAAAATTACAAATCACCACAGAAGTGGCCACATTGTTGGAGCTGCAGGTTAACAAGTTCTCAGGTCCTAATTGACTTAATCCAAGTGTCTTAAAATGGCTAGCTGGAGCATGAATGAATTGGTTTTAATTTTCCAAAATTCAGGGAAGTTCCACTAGAATTGAACATAGCAAATATAGCACTTATTCAAAAAAAAGGATATGGATAAAGCTGAAAACAACAGGCTAGTTAGTACATGTCAGACAGGGGCTATTAAGAAGCCGTTAGGAAAACATTATAGTAGGGCACTTAGACATGCTCATGGCAATCAGGCTGAATCAACATGGTTTTGTGAAAGGGAAATGATGTATAATTAATTTACTGGAGATCTTTAAAGTAGTAACATGCGTGATGAATCAAGGGCAACAATTGGAAGTACTGTGCTTAGATTTTTGGAAAGTATTTGATAAGCTGCTACAATGGTTACTGCAGAAAGTAAAAGCTTGCAGTGTACAGGGTACCATTTCATCATGAATAGATGACTGGCTGACCAACAGGAGGCAGCACACATAAATGGCTCATTACTGGATTGTCAAGAGGCAAGATGGAACTAGCAGCGTGCCACAAGGATCAGAGCTGGGGTCTCAACTTTTGACAATTTATATAAATGACTTAGAAGATGTGATGAAAGGTATGGTAACTAAATTTGCTGATGGCACAAAATAGAAAATTAAGTTGAGAAGATGATGTAAGGAGGCCAAAGAGATATGGATAGGTTAAGAACAAAAGAAACAGGAGAAATAGTAAACTATTTGATGCCTCAAGCTTGCCTTGCCATTTGATAAGATCATGGCTGATCTGCTGCAGGCTTCAACTTCTGTTTCATGCAAGCGCAGTTTAAAAATCCAACTCTTTTTAAAATACTTAATTATTGTAAATTAAGTAATTAATTAAGGACACAATGTTGGGTGATAAGAAGCTCAATGAGTACAGAACTGAGACAGGTGGTGGTAGGTCTTCTGGATAAGATGAGGGCATGGAAGAGACAGGACAAAACAGTTTTTAAAAAAAAAGTTCAATGCCAGGACAGTAGGAAAAGGATTATAGGAAGTTTGGCCAGGCAGTCTTCTAGAACAGAATAACGTAGCAGAGGCAACTAGTCTGAAACTTGGTGACAAAGAAATCTGTGACTCCCTTGTTCCTATTGTTGAAGGCATGGAGTGGACAGGGAGATGATTTAAGGATGTAGTAAAGGAAAAGAGTAAGTGTGAACACCGTTAAGTTGGTTTCTGTGAAGATTTGCTACCCCAACTAGAATCCAAAATTATCAAATACACAATAATTTTGAAAGACAAAAGTAGGACCCTATTGTCACACTGTTTACATCAGACAGACTCACTTATGATTCATTCACCCAGGTCTTACTGCAGTTGGTGTAGTTATTGCATATATTTAAGATGTAGACAGGTAGGTTGTTGATTAGTAAGGGAATCAAAGGTTAAAGGGAGAAGGCAGGAGAATGGAGTTTAGATACATAGCAGCCACAATCAAACAGCAGAGCAGACCTGATGGGCTGAATGGCCTAACTCTGTTCCTATATCTTATGGTGTGGAATTCTTTTGCAGGTCTCTACATGTATTTCTAGGCTGAGGGCATTGTTCACGGTGCAGCATAAAAATTAGACTCTTAAAAGTCACCAGGTAAGCATGCAGTTTTCTTACTGGTCAGAATTGGATACAGTGGTCCAACACTGATCAGAGGATTTGCACCAAATTTTTCTGAACATTTTCTGGACAGGGAAAGCAACTGTTAAACTTTAATTTACCAAGTATAATAGAAGGGACAATTGCTTCCTGTGTGTGAATGCAGTCAACGTAAATATTTAAGCATTATTCACCTGTTTTGAAGCAGGAAATGTCAAATATCATACAAACCAAGATTAAATCAGAGAGAGTTCAACAACGTGGAAGAGGCGAACATTTTTAAAATCTCTTTCGCTGACATGCAAACAAGTTTCAATTTTATGAAAGAAGTCACAGAACATATAGACTCTATTGTATTCTGTTTTGATACAAGTAGCATGGATATTCATGAATAAATGTTTCTATGTAGCTAATGTAATGCGCAAGGAACCATGTTTTAATCTCACCCTAAACTAAAGAATCTCATCGTTTCAAAACTGGGATTGGTACAAACATGTTGCCCTGCCATGATCCAAAGTAAACATGCCCCTTTTTTGTAAAGGAAAGGGAACTAGTTTTAGCCCTGACCCTACAAGACATTTCATTAGCTTCTTGACTCTAAACTAAATCAGATGTCCAGAAAATCATACCTCAGATTTAGAGCTACACTTACTAATTTTACTCAGGTTTGCATTGTCAGCTGCCGAAAACACAGTAAATTGCACTATTTCCCTTCTCCCGAGTTTTCATCTGTGGCACTCAATCACTTCCCAGTGAATGTATAAAACAGTTATGACTTATGGGGAACAGGCAATAAGAGAGTACAATCTGAACAGCCATGATTTTATTGCATGATGGGGAGGTTACAGAGGACAAAAGGCCTCCAATGCTCATTTCTTTAATGTTCTAATGTTTAGCAAAGGTCCAAAAGAACGACCTAAAAATTGAAGCCATCAATTAACCTTCTCACTATACCACTTCATACTCAAGCCACATTTGTCCAACATTACCACACAATGAAGTGACACTACTTTCCATGAAGATTGGCTGGAACATACAAAAACAAATAGGCAATGGTACCTCAAATCAGGTCAAAAATGGTGTTTTATCTCAAAAAAAAAAAAAAAAAAGGTGTTGGCTATATTTCAAACATGGATAAGCACATAAACTCACAGGCATCCACTTCAGTACATTTTTTCCAGTCATCAACAATTCAAATTACCTAAATCATTAAGCCAAAGGGCAATGCAATTCAATTTAATTTTTTTTATGGTTTGTGAAAAGACTCAGTATAGAGACCAATCCAGTCTGAGAGGGCTATCTAACGTTCAGCAGAACAAAGGTCAATGTACAGCTCCAACATCAGCACTCCTGATCAAAGAACCAAATACAATAATTCACCTCCAATTGTCGAGAGCTTTGGTGAGGCTACACGTAATTAGTACTTCTTTTAGTTTTCATCCCCTTACCCATGGAATGATATACTTGTCGTCGAGGGAGTGCATAAAAGGTTCACAAGACTGATGGGATTGTTCTAAGATTGGGCCTGCATTCTCTGAACTTAAGAATAACCAATAATCTCAAGCGCACAAAATTCTTACAGGATTCAACAGGATAGATGTTGGTGGATGTTTCTTTCCCTCCGGCTGGAGCTGGAGCAGGAACATGAACATGTAGAACCAAAGGACAGTATGAAAACACAGGAAAAGCCATCTAGCACTGAGACACAAACTAGTTCTTTACTCAATATCTGAAACACTAATCCAAAAAGTGGAAAATCAAATCATTGAGCATTTTCAAGACAGAAACAGAGACTTCCAGATACCAATGACAACAAGGGATATACAGAGTGCAGGAAAATGGCAGGAAGATCAAGTTGAATGGCAGAACAGGCCCAAGCCTAATCCTGCTCCAATTTCTTGCATTTCAATGGTTAAGCAGGTTTGTGCAAACTAAAGCACAATACAACACTGGACAAGATTATATTACAAAATGCAGGAGGTGAAATCAGTTTTAGTCAGTTTTCAAAGTTGCAATTGCTTTAAAAATCTACTTAGTTGCAAGGGCAAAAATGTTACATTCTCATCAACTGAGCTTTATTTATGCACCTTGCAGAAACCAGTCACGTACAATTTCTCAGACAGATCCATTTTTGGTAGCAATCAATAACTGTTTGCGAGCTATACAGCACTACTTTTAAAAAGTATTTTATATTTTACATATTATATATTATCCAGAGACACTGATTGTATGATCTGTTGCTATTGTGTTTTACTCTAGAGACATCTCATTCTTAAGTTTGGAAGACAGTAACATAGTCTTGACAGGATCAGGACATACAGACACAAATTCCAAGACAAAATTATGCAATAGTTATTTAAGGAATGCAGATGCATATTTTACTCAATGATACTGCCTCTACAGGAATATCTGAAATGGGTTTGGTACAAGCATTTATTTATAAGCAATCATATCAGAATTTCAGTATTGGGGAAACAGAAGCATAAATTCTGACTTACCTTGGTTTGTGTAGTTCTGTCCAAAAGATCCTCCAAGTGTATTTTCATATTGATTACCCATCGCTGGCTTTGGACCAACACTTCCATAGGTGTTGGTCAAGGGCTCAGAAGTTGATCGCCCCTGACCAGTCCCTGCAGCTGGAATTACATGGTTTGCTTGCACTCCTGGAAGCTGACTGATAGGATGGGGCTGTTGCTGAGGACTATATTGCCAGCTAGGCTGTGGAAGGACTGAGACTCCAGGGAGAACGCTGCTCGACACTGGAGGTGTAAATGAACCTTGAGAAGGATGGGGCATTCTTGAGTAAGAACCTGGATATGCAGCCATAGGTACGTTTTGTCCATCAGCAGAAGAACCCTTCTGTAAATGGGTAGCATTTAGTAGAGGTCTGCTGGCAGTCTGCCCAAAGGTCTGAAAATTACTAAGATGCTGTTCAGTGCCAAGGTGTGGAAAGTTCTTTGCTGGCTGTTGCTGTGAATATGGTGCTGGTGGAACCACTCTATATCCTTGCTCAATGGGGACTGAAGGGCGTTGATTCATCAAAGGGCCTAGGAAGACATATTATGCAGAGTGTCAAAACATTATTGCCATTATGTTTCAAATTTATAGAAAATAAGCAAATTTCTTTGTGGTATCTAATACTTTTATTAAAACTATTGTTTTGAAAAAATTCTTTCATGGGATGAAGACATCAATGGCAAGGCCAGCATTAGCTTCCCATCACCAACAGTCCTTGAATGCAGCAGCTTGCTGGGCAATTTAAGGAAGCAGTCGATCTCTTCTGTTGATCAGTCACATGTAGGCCAGATCAAGCAAGGGTGGTAGATTTCCTGCAAAAGGACTTCAGGGAACCAGATGGGTTTTTAAATGATATTTGACGCTACCTGTCATGGTCACACTCATCATTATTAGCTTTCTGTTTCAGAAAGCATTCAGCTGTTGTAGTGGGATTTGTGCCCATGTCTCCATTAGTTTAAGCTCTGGATTACAGTCAAGCGACATTACCACTACTGCTCGTTCTGCAATAATGCATGTTTCGTTAACGCGAATTTGCTGTAATGCGATTGATGAATAACGGATGCTGTTTGGGTAACGCAAGCTTCCTGCTGTACAGGCATAGCAATTTCCCTATAACACAATTTTCAATAGTGTGATTTTCTATAGCACGAGTTCGTGCAAGAACATAACTATCACGTTATAGGAGAACTACCTGTATACCATAGATAGTAAGAACTGCCGATGCTGGACTC